GAGGATAAGATAATGGGCAGAAAGCAGGAAACACTGTTATTTGCAGTAGATTCGAAGCTTCCAAGGGGCCCAGGGGCTTCCAAAACCTTAAAAAAGGTGGTTCCCTATGGAGACGCTTAGACCTAACTTAAATAACATTGTGTAAGGCCCGGGACGAGATCGCAACGTGACTCGCTCTTTCTTTCTGCTGGGCTTCGGGGTCGTCTCTCTCTTCTTCTTCCTTCGGGTTAGAGGAGCTGGTCAGGCTCCCCGGCCCATGGGGCCCCCCAATGTTCTGGGGCTTTCGGGGAGAGCTACACCTCTCTCTCTCTCTCTCACTCGAGAGGGTCCCCACTTCGGGTTAAGTTTTTGCTCACCGCTGGATGATACTTCAGCGCTCCTCTTCCTGCAGACGTCAACTCGGCGACATCACCCAGGACGGTGCCAGTGCCGTGCGATTCCTCTTCAGCTGAGTGGAGCTGGCTTGGCTGTATCGGAAAGTTTGCAGGGAATATACATATATATATACATATATATATATATATCACAAGTGCACAGAATCTTTTAGAGGACAGTCCAGCATGACAAGATCATCTGGCAGCCGACGTGCTTGTTCCAAAGCTTCATGCAGAAGCTCCTGCAGAAAAAGAGGATGCGCGAGCCATCTGCTGGCACTGCCCCTAAAGATACGGCACAGAGACTCAGAGACACCATCCATACTCCACATTCCGGCGATCCACCGATTGCAACAGTCGCCTGCTGCGCGCGACTACTGGGCGCTGTGAGGCTCGCACCGCGGCCAGAGCTAAGGACCTCGCAGCATCCCATGGTACAGAGTTCACGCCCTGTTCAAAGGCTCAGGATCGGGCTGCTGCGGCTTCCAGCTTGGGTCCCCCTGAGTCGAGATAAAGAGCTCCCACGGCCTCGAAACAGCTTTGCAAAAGAACAAAGACACGCACACGCATGCAAGTGGGCCATGACCTCCGCCCGGCCGTAGCCATCTGCACTGGTATCGAAGCTGCGACAGCGGCCACTGCCCGAAAGCAGTCCTGGCACAAACATGGCTAAGCCGAAACAGAGGGCCGTGCAAGCTCATTGCTTACCGCACAACAAGCACGAGAGCTAGGTAGTTGGTTTCAGTGGGCACTGTGGCTGATTGGCATAGCCCGCCTGAGCTGCTGTGGTATCGAAAGACTGCGGGGTGCAGCAGGAGGTTGACTGCTGCAGCCAATGCTGGTGAGGCTCCTGAACCGGAAAGGAGAATTGCAGGTCCGAAGTTCTATGGTGACCGGTTTTAGAGCTGAAGCGGGGTCTCCTGCGCAAGTAAGCTGCGCTGCCAGCGAGACTGCCACCAGGGCCGAGGAGCAGGCAGTGTCGATGGCGAAGCTGGGTCCATGCAGGTCAAAGCCTAGCCACTGATGAGTTTCACTGGTCTCATCGGATTTTTCACAGTCATATCCAAACAGTCAGCTCAGACGGTAGAAGATGGGTGCAAGCGATCACAGCCGAACAGAGTCAAGCACTCTACAGCGAAACCATTCGATTAGAACACACGCATGCGCTGCCTCTGGTCATGAACGCATGCGCCGGGGGCCGAGCTGAAGGAAACCCGATTGGCTGCGATGCAGGCACCTCGCTCACAGTGGTAACCACGAGTCTGCAAAACCCACCCTAATTGGGTCAAACCGGGCCGTGCAACCACAGTGTCGGCAAACCAGGTTGTGCCGGCCTGGAGTTGTTGAACCGTTGAACCCCCTCAGTCTCAGTGCAACCAGAGCACAAACAGCTGCACTTGCATGCGAGCTCGGCGAAATCCCACTGCAAGATTCCATGAGCAGAGACCAGTCGTTCTGAAACTGCGCAACGACGACTGCACAGCCAGCCGATTGGTTAGGTGCTTCTGCCTGTGGCATTAGCACTTCGCATGCACACTGGAGGACCAGACGCTGCCCCGGATCTATAACAGCAGCCTCGGCAAGGCTCATCTCAAAGTGCGCTGCATCAAAGAGGTCGATCTCTGCCAGAAAAGACCCATGGTGAGTCACAAACACGGTGTCGTTATACTCGCAATACGCGTTCACATCCCATCTTGCCAACGGTATCTCCATGGCTGCATCGCAGCCAATGACAGCGGTCTGCAAGAACTGCTGATGTTGACTGCTGTCCGCCAGAGTGGTTGTGATGCACTGCACTCCAACATTCCGAAACGAGGACTCGATGGCCCCCGTCTCCCGGTTTGGCTCCGTGGACAAGGCCGGTTGTCCCTGAGCGTCTTGCAAGAAAGTCGTCAGCTTTCGAAGCGTTGGGAAGTCGAAGGCCAAAGTCAAGGGCAGGTGGCTGGGAGTCAGATGCAGCTCCTGCAAGAAACCACAGAGGTGAAGACTTGATTCTGTCTCGCCATAACTTGGTCCCACGCCTTCAGCACGATGTCGCGAAGAACAAGAGCACCAGCAGAGGTCAGACCAATCTGATCAGCATAGAGAGCATGCCGCCAGAAGGCCAAAATTAACCATCACAGACAATTCTGGACCTACGCATCTCTAAGAAACAAGCACCACAGCCCCCACACCTGCCCGAATGGCACATCCTCCTGCCAGACAGAATCAAAGAAACGCTGCTTGCATCAAAAAGGCAACTCTCTCATGCCATGGTCGATCAAAGCAGATCTACAGTTACAGCACCGGTCTGGACCGAGTGCTTCGATGGTATCAGACCTATGACATATAGGTGCGACTCATGGCCGAAGATTTCTCCTCGACGTCTTCTTCTGGCACACCCAAACCATCAGAGACGCACTGTCGAATCAAGCTCAGCCATTCCTTGCATTTGCAACATGCGCTTCGGCTTGCAGCACGATCTGGTTCATCGTAGAAATTTGTAAACACAACGCGACAACTATGACTATGATCCATGAATTGCAGATACTCTGCATCGGTTTTCTGACTGCAATCTGCATTAGCCACATCAACTCGACAAGACATCAAAGCTTTATGTGCGCGACATGTCAAGGAAGAGCCGTGGATGGACGGACAATCAGAACAGCCACAACCACTGTAAGCAGGCTGCTGTGGTGGATGAACTTGCACTCATTCCCCATCTTCTACCGCTGTTGCCTCGCCAGCACACCGTGCCGAAACTGCTTGGAACCCAAGGCTGCTCGAAACTGCCGTGGACTTGATAGTTTATCACATGCCCCAGACCATCTCGACTTGCAGGCACACGAAGTAGCGGGGAGGTACCACTCAGGATGTAGCTTGGAGTCTCGCGATTCCGCGCCTTCGGCTTAAGGTCACATCCGTACCACTCACATGGAAGGCCAGGACGCAAGAAGCCAACAGCTATAAAAGGCAGCTCCAACCTGTTCTTCCGAAGGTTTTGGACGAGATTCTGTGCTCCCGGGCTCATGTGAACACAGGGCCTCTGCTGCTTTGAAGTCAACTGCAAGCATGCAAGACTTGACACAGCTGCGTTCGAAAGCTGTCGTTCGAGTCTGGACATCGTTGAAGCTAGACAGCTGAGCAGCTCAAGCGCAAATCTCACAGTCGCTACACACCTCGGCCGTGCAAAAGCTTCGCTACTCGCATTTCTACAGAGGACGTGGTCCTCTCAATTCTCTACAGCTTGCACAGAACAGCAGCAAAGCAATGCCGACAGCGGTCTGTTTTGATTCTCTGGCTCTCCGAGATCCTTCCTGCGCATTGACCTGCATCGGAACTTGAGGTTCGCTTGATTTGCAGCTTGGTAACTAGACATACGTAAATTCCGCCCGGAGACGAACAGAAACAAGTAGGTGAACATTGATTACTCAGTAGAGCCATGCTCCCGTGCACTAAACAGCCCTTGCAGAGACTCCGGCAACAACAACCTTCCGACAGCCGTCAGATTTCAGCATGGGTGCAGGCTGCGCAACGTGTCCCCTGAGTTTGTGAAGCCTCAAACCTCAAAGACGCTGTCCCACAACACATAAGCGTATGCCTTGAAAAAGACACTCAACCCTCAAAAAGAGAAGCAAATGCGGCAAGCTCAACGCTTTCACCCCAGTGGCTTTCCTAAACCTTGTGCTAACAAGCGTTCAATGCGCTGTGCTGTGTGCCGCTTTCTCACACGCCGGAGATGAGGTCGGCGAGGTGTCACGTCGGCACAACCGAAGCGAATGCAGGCTGGAGATGGGAGCGAAAAGCGCGCCAATTGCAAGCTGCCCAAGGCTTGGCAATAATGATGGCTGCGTGACCTTGCTCCTTCGTGCTGTCAAAGAGTGAGCCCTCTGCCCTGAAGAACGTTCTGTTGCTGTTTGATGAGACTGAGCCTTTGGGCTCAAGGTCAAGTTGTGCGTGCGAATCATCGACTCGAGCGTACTTGATCGTACTTGTTGATGCCGCGACGGCTTCGTAGGATCCTGTGCCTGACGAATGTGGGCGGAGCATCGTCCGGAGGATATGGCGGGTGGATTGAAAGTTGCAGGCAGACTAAATAGGATTGAAGCTTCTGGGTTTGATGGGCAGGCGCCGTGTCATTGAAATCACAAGGGAACAAGGTTTTCTTCGACAAATCCACCGACTACAATACATTGTGGGCACATGAAGCAGCCTTCCGGGAAGAGGGCATCCATTATCGACGAGAGTTTCTAAATCAAAAGTGTCTGTTGCCGAGGTTTCATCAATTTGTGCGAGAATGGAGGGTTCTGTCCGATGCCGGTTCCCAAACACTTCCTCTGCACACGAGTGCGTTGGCTTCATGATCTATTGTCAAAACTCACATAATAAGATAAGAAAGGCTGCATGGATCGTCATGGTAAATGGATGGACATGGCTATGATGATTTGGGAACGGGGCTTCCTCGATGGGCTCCGTCTTTGGTGCCGTTTCAAAGTGCCTGTAGTTTGAGAAGTTCCGCCTCTTCGCAACTTGCGGAAATGGAAACACGCCAACAATGGTTGTCTGGTTGTTCAATCCTGGTCAAGAGTGTGGTCCTCAAGTTCAAAAGTATCGGCGAATAAAAGCCCACATCTTGAATCAAAATCAACCCATGTGTTGGATTCAAGCAGGGCCCCTTGAACGTCCGACGACCTTTTGTTCAATGCTGGCAAGACCTCAGACTTCTTCATGTCGATCAGAGCCATTCCCAACGCCCATCTATCCGTCAATCCAAGGGAATCTGCAAGCTCCAAGAAATATGCCTTTCTGACACTTGGCACATACAGATTCAGCAGATGAAGCGCTACGTCATAGGACTGATAAAACTCTTGCAGAATCCAAGCTGCCCGAATAGCCTCACTTGGAGCCAGGGGTTTGAAAGCCGGTGCGCTCCTGTCCGTTGCCACTCCGTGCATGCCACGGACATAGACAGCATCCCCAAACGTTTGGTGGGTGACCAGGGGCTGCAGCCGATAGGTCAGCGGCCTGCGGTCCAGGTCGCGAAGATCCAAGAACCGATGAAATGTAAAGCCCCGCTGCCGCAGAAACTGGTCGATGTCCGCAAAAAGAGGCTGGCCCCGATAGACATAGTCCTGATGGCTGACACTGACAAAGAATCCTGCACCAATCCCAATTCATTCCGATTCTGCTATTTACACTTCCTATTTACCTCTTATCCTCTCCCAGGTCAGGCAGAAGGTTGATATGAGTCATTACAAAATAACGCCGGCGGTATCCCCAATAGGAAGCCTCCGGACCGGAACCTTCAACTGCCCAACATTGCCCAACCCTCTGGAACCGCAACTCCGGAACTAGGAACCGCTGCAAGCATTTTTTGGAGACCGAGATGCTAGCGCAGGGGTGGGGGGGGGTTACTCCTTGAGTATGGGGGGGGGGAGGGGGGGGGACTCCAGGAGTATTAAAGGGGGGGAGTGTAAGGGGGGGAGGGGGTCCCTACATTGAGGGGGGTCGGAGGCTTCGTACTAGGGGGAAGGACGACGACTAGAGTATTACTGGTAATATTACACTAAGTAGTTGTTGCAGTAAGTATTTACTCTATACACTACTACTAGTACTACTACTTCTGCTACTACTACGGCTACTACTAGTACTACTACTAAAAATAATAATAATACTAACAATAAAAAGTAGTATTACACTGGTATCAGTAACCGCTTCTAGTGTAGGGCATTGATGATATTTTAATTATATATTTCAATGATAATCAGTTATATGACTCAGGTTCAAGAACAAGAGCTCCCGCGAGCTGGAAAGGGACCTGTGTGGTACCAAACGTGTACGCGGCGGCAAGTACCGCGAGTACTACTCACAGAAATACGGGGGCGGCAAGTGATTTCTGGCCTCCGCTTCTGAAGCCTTGCTACCCAGCCCTCGCATCATGAAAAAGATCTGGACTGTTGCAGTTGCAGAGCATGATTAGTCTAATTAGTGGCTGCAAAGCGGACTAGCCGCTCTAACGAGGTAACAATAACTAATAACACAGAAGCAGTTCCTAGCCCTGGCAGAGAAGCCATGATTCACTTGAATTTATTCTGAGCCCCTGTCTGTTCCAGGAGGCAAACAACGATGTCCGGAACCTCGTGCTGTCCTCGCCGGCCGAGCCTCTCACGACGCCCGAGACTAAGTCTCGCCCTCTGTCGGAGCTCGCCAAGTCCAAGTCTTGGGCTGTTGAGAAGGGTACGACTAAGAGAAAGGCCAAAGACGCCGAGCCTCCTGACTCGACTGTGAAACCCCGTCGACTGGGTTTTGATTCTTCTAGTCAGAAGGAGAGGCACGAGCCCCTGGACGACACCCCAGGCGAGTCGAGTTCTGAGAACCATGACGACGAGCAGGAGGAGGCTGGCGAGGCAGCGAGCTTCACGACAAAGGCTCTGGAGGACATTGCCGACGAGGATGCAGATCTCTTTAAGGAAAAGTATGCACTGGCCATCCCGGAGACCCCTGCCAGCAACAGAACGAACATTCCAGCCATCATGGATGATCCTGCTGTGGTTTCAAAAGCTGGTTCCTGGGATAAGCTTCCCCGTGCCATCCGCTCAAAGTTGGAGAAGGTGGATTCGGATTTGATTGAGGTCCTGCCGACCACTTTGTCTCAGTGTCCTGCTGGCATTAATATGACATATGTGATGATCCTTGAGTTTCCTGTGATGTCTTCTGCTGGTGTTGCTGCTTCTTGCTGAGGTCAGACTTCCTTCACTTTCTGGATATCCTCATATCCGAGGACATCTTGAATCTTAGCGATGCCATGGAGTTGCTTGCGGAACTGGGAGGCTTCTGTGTTGCAAGGCATTTTCCGGTGACCCCAGATATTTGGCCAGTCTGTTCCCTGTTCATGCATTTGATTTAATGAAGTCAATCTAAGGAACTTGGCTGGCTTGCTTGGGAGAGAAGAGCAATGCTATCCAAGCCAAGTTGACTTTGAAGGGGAAAAAGATCCTTTCGTCATGGCCCGAGGAGTTGAAGGTCACTTGGCTACTAATTTGGGTCTAGCGACTGCAGCCGGTGCTTTTGCGATTCAGTCACTGCAGAGGCAGCCCAGCAGGATGCCGACACCCGCGAGGCCCACGAGGCCGAGTGATTTTGGACAAGCTCAATTTTGGAGCCACCTGCATATGTTAGGTCGATGGCTTGTGATTTCCCGCCCGAAGAAGCACCCAAGTTGCACCCGCCCCGAAACTGCAGCAGCCCAGGAACCACGCCCGAGGATTCTTGGCAGCCTCTGGCAATTTCACGGCAGCCCGATCTTTCCCTGCTCACATGCGATAACCCGTGCCGCCTCTTCAGCACACCAGGGGACAGCTGAAGTCTGCGATGGAGTCGCACTAGAACAGCAGTGAAAAATATTTTGGTCGAAGCAGAATGGCAGTGTTGAGTGATTCCTGCTTGCTGCATGACTGGCTGTTTCAGTTATTACGTACAAGAATAACTACTCAGCTGTGTGGCCGGGCCCTGCTTCTTGGCTTCTACATAATTACGTGACATGTTGATTGGCCCCNNCCCCAGTGATGCGACCTTGGATGGGTTTGTTGAGTTTGTTGTGAGCTTGGCAAGAGTTTCAGTTGAGCACGCAGAATCAGTACGCAAGTACGTGGACCGGTTATATTAAGTTCAATCCGTGAAGTTCTTGGTTTGGGTTCTTAACGTGGTCCTGGAATT